TTTCAGTACAAATTATGATTTTTGTTTACAAATGTCAATTTTCAATGACAAATGTTGAATTAAGTGTGCAAATTAAGAGATAAGAATTTAGAATTAAGAATTAAGAATTAAGAAATAACAATGAAGAACATTAAAAAAAAGGCCATTCCACCTTCCATATTGGTAGGTACAGATAATCCAGGAAAGATCAATGACCAGAGCTTTGCACATTAATCAGCAGAAATATGGGTTTCTTGATATCATTGTAAAATTTCGTTGTTTCTTTTTCTTAAACCATACAAAGTATACATGTTTCATTGCATTAATTTCTCTCAAAATATTTGTCTAAAAGAAATAAAATGAAATGAAATGAATGGAGTTGTACCTTGTACTTTTCGGCACCATGTGGGCTAATGAAAACGGGCAATGCCATGCAGGGTGCAATGAGGGGAATTTTGCCAGAACAGCGGCATAAGCCTACTCTTTTTCGATTTCCAACTGTCAAGGGATCTTTATTGTCTAAAAGAAGTCACTTCCTCAGGGGGAGAGGTTCCAATGTGTTAAACAAAATATATTACATTGGTATATATGAAACATATTGTGTAGTTTCTAAGTGCTAAGTTGTGTAGTGTCCTTGCTAACAAAGCAATATTTAATATATCTGTCAATTAGTCCAAAATGTCCTTCTGATACCAGAACGAAAATATATAAAAGATATACAAATGGAAACGAAAGCAATTTTTAATCAATGGTGTATTACTTATTGACTAGATAAAATTGACTATATAAAATTTACTAGATAAACTTGACTACATAAAATTGTGTCTGCTATATTAGTTTCTGTTTCAATTCAATCTGTAAGAGGCCAGGTTTTTAGTTCTTGGCTTGCGCTATATGTTGGTGCAACACATTTGACATCGATTTACCAGGGGAGAGCGCGAACACAGTCCCCCACACTAAAAAGTTACGTACTCGAGTCACCCACATTAGGGGTGATTGCAGGGGTGCAATGCAGAAGCCTCGTCCAAGGAGAACCTCCTTGCTGATAAAGATTTTTCCTGTATCAATAGGCCGAATTAGGAAACCAAAACGTCTGCAATTTTTAATCCATGTAGTTTTGCTTATTGACTAGATAAAATTAATTAGATAAAATTGACTGGATAAATTGACTAAATAAAATGGACTGGATAAAATTGACTAGATAAAACTGCGTCTGCTACATAAGTTTCTATTTCAATTCAATCTGTAAAAGCTCTGTCTACCTATACTTTAATAACATTACAACAACCTATTCCCTAGCCTACAGACATTCATTCTAATCTAATTTCACATTTCAACAATTTGTCAAATTCCTCAACCAGTGTATGTAGGAACAATAAAAAATACAATTTCATGCAACAACACAAAAACTCAAAACTGAAAATTGTAAAAAATTTAGTACAGCTAAAGAATACAACTAAAAGGGAAAAGTTTTATGTGTTTACACTTGACACTAAAAATGAAAAAAGCATAAAATATGAGAAATATTCCAATTTTGACGTTTCATTCATAATTCTGTTATGTTGGTTTTAAACAAGTTTTTACAGCTTGTAAACTCTGATTTACATGTATAATATACACATTACAGATAAATAGATTTGCTGAAATCTTTATATAATTGACTATGTAATTTGGATGGGAAAAGATTTGCTGAAATATTTATATAATTGACTATGTAATTTGAATGTGAATAGATTTGCTGAAATATTTATATAATTCACTATGTAATTTGGATGTGAATAGATTTGCTAAAATCTTTATATAATTGACTATGTAATTTGGATGTGAAAAGATTTGCTGAAATATTTATATAATTGACTATGTAATTTGGATGTGAATAGATTTGCTGAAATATTTATATAATTGACTATGTAATTTGGATGTGAATAGATTTGCTGAAATATTTATATAATTGACTATGTAATTTGGATGTGAAAAGATTTGCTGAAATATTTATATAATTGACTATGTAATTTGGATGTGAATAGATTTGCTGAAATATTTATATAATTGACTATGTAATTTGGATGTGAATAGATTTGCTGAAATATTTATATAATTGACTATGTAATTTGGATGTGAATAGATTTGCTGAAATATTTATATAATTGACTATGTAATTTGGATGTGAAAAGATTTGCTGAAATATTTATATAATTGACTATGTAATTTGGATGTGAATAGATTTGCTGAAATATTTATATAATTGACTATGTAATTTGGATGTGAATAGATTTGCTGAAATATTTATATAATTGACTATGTAATTTGGATGTGAATAGATTTGCTGAAATATTTATATAATTGACTATGTAATTTGGATGTGAATAGATTTGCTGAAATATTTATATAATTGACTATGTAATTTGGATGTGAAAAGATTTGCTGAAATATTTATATAATTGACTATGTAATTTGGATGTGAATAGATTTGCTGAAATATTTATATAATTGACTATGTAATTTGGATGTGAATAGATTTGCTGAAATATTTATATAATTGACTATGTAATTTGGATGTGAATAGATTTGCTGAAATATTTATATAATTGACTATGTAATTTGGATGTGAATAGATTTGCTGAAATATTTATATAATTGACTATGTAATTTGGATGTGAAAAGATTTGCTGAAATATTTATATAATTGACTATGTAATTTGGATGTGAATAGATTTGCTGAAATATTTATATAATTGACTATGTAATTTGGATGTGAAAAGATTTGCTGAAATATTTATATAATTGACTATGTAATTTGGATGTGAATAGATTTGCTGAAATATTTATATAATTGACTATGTAATTTGGATGTGAAAAGATTTGCTGAAATATTTATATAATTGACTATGTAATTTGGATGTGAAAAGATTTGCTGAAATATTTATATAATTGACTATGTAATTTGGATGTGAAAAGATTTGCTGAAATATTTATATAATTGACTATGTAATTTGGATGTGAAAAGATTTGCTGAAATCTTTATATATTTGACTATGTAATTTGGATGTGAAAAGATTTGCTGAAATCTTGATTCCTCTGTGAATCTGAAATATTCTGATATATTCATACTCCTGTATTATGATTTAAAAGGACATGTGCGCCATTTTCGGGATGTCTTGAATATATGTAAATAATATAATATGTAAAATTGCATAATTCCTTAAATATTATCTCAAACTAGGAAATTCTTTTCCTACTTCTATAGATTTCCTCTCCATATAACTTTCAAACGTGGATAATTCTGGACACACATGGATCTGAAGCCTCAAATTTCGACAGTGAACTGGCTAAGCTAAAATTCCCATTTCTGAGACTAAGGTACGATTGGTAAAAAAATGGCGCATCATATGCAACTTCATCACGAGTTAAGTTTAATTCAAAACTTACGACAAATCTCATCTGTACCATCACCACAATCATCATCACCATCACACTGCCATTCTTTAGCTACACATTTATTATTATTACATTTTAATTCATCAGGTGTACACTTTCTTGGTGCTGAAAAACATAATTATTATTATTACAATTTCCTTCAAATTTACCTTATACATCCTGATAAACACTCAGTTCAATAAAAGATTGTAACATTATATAATTATTGCCTCCAAATATTATTCCCTTTTGATTCAGAGTAAAATTAATATATCTTAGTTCAACAGATCATTGATCATCAGATGATTTTACTTCATAGTTCATCAGAACATTTTTGAGTTTTAGTACATGTACATCCAACCATGTAGCATGATGACGTCACACGTTTAGCCAGCTGTGCATGCTAGGAATGAAGTGGGGTTTCTATCAGTATTCGTTTGGCCATTTTGTAATACCTTGACCCCAATTCAATCCTATAGTTTATAGCGCGAAGTTTGTTTATTGAAATGTGATGTCATCAGTCAATAGGTCTATTATGACTCCATTTAGTTCATCAGAAGAGTATTGCATCTTAGTTCATTATAAGGTTATGGCATGTTAGTTCATAAAATAATATTTCATGTAATTTGATGGTTATTACATCTTAGTACATCATCAATCAAATGGTTATTACATCTTAGTTCATCAAATGGTTATTACATCTTAGTACATCATCAAATGGTTATTACATCTTAGTTCATCAAATGGTTATTACATCTTAGTTCATCAAATGGTTATTACATCTTAGTACATCATCAAATGGTTATTACATCTTAGTTCATCAAATGGTTATTACATTTTAGTTCATCAAATGGTTCATCAAAAGATTTAAATAACATCAGAGTTCATCAAATGATCTTACTTCATCAAAAGATTTAAATAACATCTGATTGCATCAAATAATCTTACTTCATCAAAAGATTTAAATTTGCATCTGAGTTCATCAAAAAATCTTACTTCTTTAATAGATTTAAATTAAATCTTAGTTCATCAAATGATCTTACTGCATCAAAAGATTTAAATAACATCCGAGTTCATCAAATAATCCTACTTCATCAAAAGATTTTAAAAATTTCTCAGAGTTTATCAAATAATTTTAAATCATCAAAAGATTTAAATTACATCTGAGTTCATCAAATGATTTTACTTCATCAAAAGATTTAAATTACATCTGAGTTCATCAAATGATCTTACTTCATCAAAAGATTTAAATTACATCTGAGATCATCAAATGATCTTACTTCATCAAAAGATTTAAATTACATCTGAGTTCATCAAATGATCTTGCTTCATCAAAAGATTTAAATTACATCTAAGTTCATCAAATGATCTTACTTCATCAAAATATTTAAGTAACATTTGAGTTCATCAAATAATCTTACTTCATCAAAAGATTTAAATAACATCTGAGTTCATCAAATGATCTTACTTCTTTAAAAGATTTAAATAACATCTGAGTTCATCAAATGATCTTACTTCTTTAAAAGATTTAAATAACATCTGAGTTCATCAAATGATCTTACTTCATCAAAAGATTTAAATTACATCTGAGTTTGATGATTGCATAAAAGTTCATTGGCAATTGAAGCTAAATAAAGCCCAAAAGACTCCTACTGATGTATATTATAAATTGTACAAGTGAATATGAAATTATAAACATATTAAATGTGCTATAAGAGAAGAATAAAACCTGTTTATCTAGACATTAAAACAAAACATAAGTTAAAATACAGATGTTACAACCATTAAAATAAAACATAAACAACTCCTGTTATAATAGATAGACAATGAGAATCAAATTTGGGGATAAAAACTTTAGGTGTTTGGTTTAGAAGCTGTTTCTTCAGCATTGCAGAAAATTAATAGGATTTTCCATACAAAGATCAAAGTTTAGAGCTCAATTCACCCTCTGAAAGAGATTCTAGAGCATTTTTAGCCTATATTAACTTCATGAGGTTCTGTAACACAGACGGTTAGAGTGTTTATTCTTTACATGATGTTTTCAATTTAAGTGTTATTATCCAGTAAGATTACTGTATTTCTTAAAATCTGGATTTCACCTTACGTAAGTTTTCAAGACTAAGGCCCCTGAACATTTGGAATGGTTCAGTTGTCAAAATACATACATCGTATGTGAAAAACTTCATGTTCAATCTTGATATTTATTTTTTAGATAACATTTCCGTACACCAAATTTAAAATCAATAAGACACCAAGAGACACATAAACAAGACTAAAAATAAGGTTAGAAAAAAAGCTAATTGAGCCAGGTCCAGTAGAGCTGGCTGTCAACTATAATTCTCAGTATATAAATGATAATTAAATTTAAGGATCTTTCTGTCTTGTGTCAGGTCTCTTGTGTTAGTTTTCTATCTTAAGTTTCTTAACAATTTGTGTTAGGTTTCATTTTTAACATTATTTCCAAGTAGTTTACAAAACTTTGTTACGTTTTTTTTAGGAAACACAATAGGACGAATACTCTTTATAATATGGCTTGTTTTAACATTGTAGACTACACAGTCAATATCCATAAAATCTCTCCTGATTGTAAAATACAAGGTTGTTTTTAAAATATTTCCCTATTGCTTAAATATTAGAATTAGATTCAATGACACTAGTAATTTATAAGAATGTCAAAACTATACCTAGAAGATAGAATTAAGATATTAAAGGGATCGTAAAGAGACTTATGTGTATCGGAGACAAGGATAGCATCAATTTGCACATTCCAATTTTCAATCAGACATCTGTGGTTCCTGCAATTCCACTAAAACAAAGCGTTTGATGATGTCCTTAATCGCAAACTTTGCTTTAAATTATTACATACCTTTCACCCATGCCACAAGTTTATTAAGCTTTTTTTTTTTTTTTAAAAATTGGTATGTTTCTAAAATATTCCTACGTCATAGGGTGACTGCAACTTGAGCTCGGGTTTGAATTGAGTAGAGTAGAGACTCCTGTGATGTAAAATTTGACCCAGTAAAAAACCCAATTCTGACCCTCCCTATTTGGGGAGCTGTACAGAAGCTAAAAAAAAGTCGAATTAAAATTAGACCAAACTTTCGTTGGGTTTCTTTATTAGCTTTTATTTTAATATAGCCTTCAATGTGGCCTCTTAAACATTGTCAAAATATCCTAATCCTGCGTTAGCCAATCAAATTTTTGCCATCTCCAGCAGTGCCATTTTGTGAGAGATTCGATTGGTTAAAGCAGATGTCCTCAGATAAGTTCAAAAGATTATTTTACACAAAAATGTTCAAAAGGCCAGTCTTAAGACTCTAAATGAAGTGGCAAATATAACCTATCGAAAGTTTGGTCTAATTTTAATTAGACTGAGATAATAATAATTTCTCCATTAACTCTAGCTCGCCCCAGACATTCAATCAAGGTCACCTATAATGAGAGATTGGATGCACCTCAATTGATCTATATTTAGAAACTCTTTATAAATTGACCAAAGAATAAATTGAATCCTCGCACAGTCATCCATTTCCTTGTGTTTACATCAACTTGAATATACTCCAAACATACTCAGTGAATACATCTATGAAGGGCTTTAATGCATCATTCAGGAAAAACATGTCTTCACCACCATGTGCTACCAAAATTAAATTTAATGCTTATACTTACGACATCCAAATTCATCACTGTCATCACCACAATCATTATCACTGTCACATAACCAATCATTTTTAATACATCTATTATTATTACACATAAACTCTCCACTAGAACACGTTCTAGGTGTCACTACAATAAAATAAGTTATATGTTAAAGCCAAATGAAATAGTATTTTGACACATAAACACTTCCAGAGTCTTAGAGGAGAAGAATTAGACATGGGGTTCTGGTATCTTATTCAAAATACAGGTTTTGACAAGTCTTATTAACCCATATGAAACTTAGTAAGCTACACTTCCTTTTATGGGCATAGAAATGAGCTTGATGCTTTTTAAATCTGACAATTCAGTGCGAAGTAAAGGGAGAACAGAAATGAAGGTCATGTAAACAAAACACAAAATCTATTTGCCGACACCCGTTTCCAGCTAGATGCAGAACTCTAATAATTCCACTGAAAGTATGTCACTAATCGCAAGGGGCCAAATTTACCATTAGTGATTGTCATCACACTTATTTTTTGTGAAACTGCACAAACCACAGACGTCTGCCTGAAAATTGGAAGTGTGCAAATTGACGTTATCAATGTCTCCAATAAATATTAAAAATTTAGAAAACCTCTTTACAATCCCTTAATATTTCAATGAAAAACAACAATAGCACTATTTAATTGACAGCTGTTATTAGACAGAGGTAGTGCAAACCATTCTAGTTTCTGTCCTCTATACAGTGTATGGCATACACCAAAAATAATAACAGGCTTTGTTTCCTGCTTTCTCTCACTAGATCAGTTAACTAAATTCCTGATGGAAATTGAATGCAAGACTCTTCTTCTAGATAATAGCATGTTTAACACATTATTCAGTCAAATGTTTTTCAACTGAATAAAAATATTATTTTGTTACAAAAATAGAGACGTGATGGGCGTTAAAACCTCTAAAATAATCTGTTTGACAGAATTCAGTCAAGAGCTATCCAAGAACAAATTCTAAAAATGGAAATAAAAATTGGAATAATTTGCATTGAAAACAACTCGACGAAAATTCCATCTAAGTGCCATATTTTCAAACGATTCAAAGTCAGAAATAGTAGTCATTATACAACGTTATATTGAAATCATTGGGTGGTCTTCCAGTAGCATTATCTTATTTCAAAATACCAGCAGACAAATCAAGCGTCCATCTTGAAAAATATGTAAGTGCCTAGAGGGGGGTAATTGAACCAAACTACAAAAGAGTAAAAAATAATTTGCAGTTCTATCTTGTAACACACACTGGAGGTCTCTTAAATAACACAATAAACATTTCAACTTAAAAACAACTTTTTCCACATATTTTCAAGTGTGACAAGTAGAATAGAATTGATTTACAAAAACGAAGGATTTGATCTTGGGCAAGACTCTTATAAAAATGCATATTGTGTATACAATTGTATCTGTGTGCATAGTGCCGGATATTGCCAATCATTGATTCCATACGTTTCCTGATAAAAGGGTCATAATAAGCAACGTATTGTGGTAGAGGATACTGGGATAAAATTTAACACTTTATCTTCAAAGTTTCAATATAAATTAATTTATAACTGTGATATTTGATGATGTATGATAATGTAGTTGAAAGGAATGGTTATTGTCATCCATCTTAAAACAGAAAATGATTTATGACATTTCTGGATCATTTCTGAAATTCCAGCAAAATCAATCATAATTCGTATATATACCTGTACAATAAAATTTAAAACTAAGGACCAATTTTTTCAAAAGTGCATATGACTACTCACATTTTCTTTGCTCATACTTAGAAAGGCTCATAATTTTAAAATTGCAAAACAATTTGTCCAAGAGATAGAAAGTAAAACCAGAAGTTTTATTATATTCATTGGTTGGGAAGAGGCATTCAATTAATCTGTTATGGAGCATCTACTGCATAACATTTGAAGATGGCATAATGAAAGCCAAATCTATCTTCCAACTTCTACACCTATATTACAACTCAACAGACAAATAATAGTAAGTGGAGCTCTTCAAGTTTACATCAAAGGAGTTTCATTTAGTGCTACTTGAAAATTTGTTAAGGAATGTGTTTATGATAAAATATCTTATACATATATATATAGATAAACAATAAATTATATCTATTTCACTTAAATAAAATTTTATATCATAGCATTCATTCCATCACATACACCAGAATATTCTCTTGCCTGAATTTACTGAGTTCATTTACTTTCAGTCAGGCTGCTTGGTTTTTCTGAAGGAGATGGAGGAGATGGCATATAAAGATTAGGGTTGCCACATGAGTTCAAAATGTATGGGATCAAGGAATTAAAAGTTGGGAACCAAGGCACCAAAGATTAGAAATCAAGCCATTTAAAGTTGGGAACCAAGGCATCAAGGTTTGGGAACCAAGGCATCAAGGTTTGGGAACCAAGGCATCAAAGTTTGGGAAACAATGGTTGGGAATCAAGGCATCAAGGTTTGAGAACTAAGGCATCAAGGTTTGGGAACCAAGGCATCAAAGTTTGGGAACCAACGCATTGAAGGCATTAAAGGTTTATCACTATTCTATTCAAAATCATTCACCTAGCTTTTTCAAGTTTCTAAAGCTTCATTGAATTCAGAAAACCTGATTTCTTATCAAAATCATTGGCATTTCTCAACAGTTCAATGTACTTAATGTTTCTGTACATGTAGGTACAAGATATCAAACTTAATACTCTTATCAATGTGGAAACAGAATCTTCATTAAAGATATACTACCTCCTTAGGATGACCAAAAAAATGAAATTTTTAAACTTGACCAAAATGAATCTTTGTTTATCAGTGGACCAGGTGTCATAAAAAATACAACAGAATCTCTCTATAATCTAATGAATCCATAAAACTAAGTAATAATTCATCAAACTATGAAATTTAGAAATACTGAAAGAAGCATTTTTCAATACCAGTAATTTCTTAGTTTAATGGGAAAATCATCTTATATAGAGATTCTATTCTTTAATTATGACACCTGGTAAATCTAACTGGTGAATATATATATATATGTAATTGTTGACCAAGTTTGAGACTTTATATGCCCATTCTAAGAGGTAGTATACCTTTAACCAATACAACACCTCTCTCTAGACATTATCTTTCTGTATAAACAATATTATCATTTTCTGTTTTTTCTGGCAACTTTCATTTATCTTGAGACAACAGATCTACTGTTCTGTATTCCACACGGGGAATCACTTCTTTCTTATTCTGACATTTTGTTTTTGTTTCAAGTGTTGAGGAACGAAAATCTGTTCTACAAAATCAGAATATTTTACAGGTTGTGACATGCAGCCCATGTCACTTTTGTACAGCTAACCATTTGACTGATGATTCCAAAACCTTGATTTCTGACTGAAAATTGGAATGGTGCAAGTCCATGCCTTCAATGTTCTCGATAAACAAAATAGTTTTGAAAACCTCTTTACAATCCCTTTAAAGGGACAGGTAGGGCATTTTATTGACCAATCATCATACTTTAGTCTCAGAAACAGGAATTTTTTAACTAAGCCAATCAGTTCAAAGCTCATCATCGAAATCCATGTGTGTCAAGAATTATCTGTGATTGAATGTTAAAATGACGACTCGTCAATTTAAGATACATGTACTCTGTGATATATAGAAAAGACATAAATAGAAATAGTGGGTAAAATTCCCAGTTTGAAGTATTTCTAAAGGAATTTTGTGATTTTATTACATTTCTAGTACTTCTGAAGACTGTTTACATATATTTAAGATAAATATCAACCCCTCAAAATGGCGCACTTGTGCCTTTAAGGGCTGAAATATGGGTTTGCTTTCTCAGTTACTAGATGTTCAATATCTATACCCCCTTTTAGCATTGAGTTTTGTGCTTTTTAATGTTTGTACATGACCAACTGGAACTTTGAACTTATGAAAGCTGCACTTGTATTAGATAAAGCTCTACTGGAATTTGTGTAGTAAACTGACCAGAAATTGAACTCCCTTGGGGTTGATCTCAAATCCACTTCATTATGAGAAAACAAACTGGTAAAGATTTTAATGGCTGGCTTACAGGTTTAACAGCTGCCCAATCAATTAATACATCACTGGACAATCATTATCAGGCCTGTAGCCAGACTTGATTGTTTGGAGGGGCAATGGTGTATGGTGTTTAGTTGAAGTTATGGAATTGGTCAGTTGTCAGGATTTTTTCAGGGGGGCTATCTTTTTTTTCAATGGATTATAACTATAGTAAGCTGGTAGTGACAAAAACTATGGAAACAATCTTTCCAGGCTTGAATTGAATCCTGATGAAGGCATACTGGGGGTTGGTAGGTAAAGGCAGTTTTTTGACTGACAAAAAGTAAAAAAGTTATTGCTTTCTACTCTTTAATCAGTAATTAAAGGGTTCTACATACTATCTTGAATTCATTGGTGAGTTGAAATTTGTAGATCTATTTAAAGTTAATTTGAATTGTCTTTTAAACAATAGCCTTAAAGGGACAGCGGCACTTTTATGAGGGGTTGATTTTAGTCTTGAATATATATGAATAGCCTTAAGAGGAATTTTACACACTATCTCTATATGTCTTTTCTATATATCATAGAGTATCTTAAATTGAGAGTCATCATTTTAACATTCATACGCAGATAATTCTGGACAAACATGGATTTGAAGGCTCAAATTTCGACAATGAGCTGTGAAAACTATTACTGATTAGCTCAGCTAAAAATTCCAGTTTCTGAGACTAAAGTACAATTGGTCTTAAAAATGGTTTACCTATCCCTTTAACAGAATGACTTTTCTAGATATATATATATATGTATTATTCTTTGAAAGTTTACATTTCCCTCCCTTAAATTTTGGCTGAAATTGTCTTCTGTAAAAACATTTGAGGGTTATAATGAGTGTTCATGTTTATATTCTAATAACGCAAAAGTTATATTAACAGTACTATTGTGTCGCTGATATCCAAAAATATGTTTTACTGACTGAACTTTCGAAGATAGAAGGCTACACCTCTAGCTAGAAAGATAGTTAAATTTGACTGTACATCCCACTTCAATATAAACGGAACTATTATTTTGATAAGTGGTCTGTTATCTAAGTAAATTAGAAACAATTGATAAAGTAAAATTACTGATATAAAAACTACAGATTACCAGTATAGATGGTTATCTCTTACTACTATCAAACAGGAAGTACACAATTCAAATAGTGATAATCTAAATAATAATGGCATAACAAATTCAACTTTTCACAGATATTGTCTAGCCAGGGGTAGAGAAACACAAGGACAGATATGGTAACAGCCAGTGGTGTTAGAAAAGAGGCTGGCCTAGCTATGCCCCCTTCCCCCCATCACCAACTTTCATTTATTTTTTTTATTTGAAGAATAGCCTTGCTATCCCCCCCCCCCCCCCTCCCTTGGAAT